AGTGAGAAATTTAAAATAAATCATTATAGAAACTTGCATCTGTGTTCATATATTTTTTGATTTATAATTGTTTTTTCTTTCTCCTCTGGATGTACAGGGCACAATGACTACATGTGTCCTGCTACTAATCAGTGTACCATCGACAAGAACCGGAGAAAGAGCTGCCAAGCTTGCCGACTACGAAAGTGCTATGAAGTGGGAATGATGAAAGGTGGTATGTACACAGTGATTTAACACAAGATTTTAGCAAAGATGGCTGATTAACTTAATGCCCTCTAAGTTCCCTGGACAATTGACATAGTTCCTGGTGAAAATAGCAATTGATTCTGTGGGACTAAAGTAGTGAATATAAACAACCGCACAGTGAGAGCTTTGGTCTCATTGAAATCAATGGGAATTTAGCCACTGACTTCACTGAAGGTAGGATTTCATACCTCATAACAATTAATTTATTTTCTGGATTTGTCTGGCTCTAGGTTATCATTAATGAAATTTAGCTTACATTTCAAGTCATTTTTAGTATTCCATTCAGTATTTTGTATGGAATAAATGTATAGTTTTCACTCAGTTCCTACTGGGTAGGTGGCTCCTTTCTAAAGCAAGCTTCCTAGTTGGTTCCTGGAAGACAGTTTTTTAAGGCTAATGGATGACGAATTACTTTGTCAGATATGCAGCATATTGTTAGGGCCATGTGGAGAGCCCAGCTGCTTACTGTACTTGTTCTGTGGATTAAAATGAGTCTCCACCTTCAGAGCTGCCATTATAGCTCTGCACCAGTGGGCAGTGCATCTGCATTAATTCCTGTAATAGTGGGGGAATGATTTTAACCTCACATATACAGTGTTAAATTGCAAAGAATTGTTTAGAAGTCATTGGTCATATATTAGTGCAACAGTGACATTGGAAGAGAATTACCCCCCAAAAGCTAAGACAGAATCCAGCACATCCCCAACAGAGCTGTACTATCAATGTAACGTATTTAGAAGGAAAATTGGAGTAGGGGAGGTTAAGGCCACCACTGGGCTGGCCCCAGAAGCCTTACCTGGGGTCCTGGGGACCTCTCATGGCTGCAGCAGTGGCAATCCTGCCGTGCAAGGCCTGGCCGGCAGCCACAGTATAGTTCTGGCTGGCCAGCCTCTGGTTTTGAGCGGTGCATGCTGCCCCAATGTGTGCTGCTCAGCCTTTTTTTCTGCAGGCTTTTTTGACCCTTGGATATCCAGGGGTCAAGCTCCCCCCTTCCCTCCCCCCCACAGCACAGACAACAACTGAATGTGTGGTATGTGGTGCTGTAAACATATCTTAATGAAAATATATTTCAAAGTAACTTTTGTTAATTGAAAACATCTATTTTAATGCAATCTTGTAGAAATTTTTAAGCCTCCCTTACCATTGGTTTAAAAATCTCCTCAGTATTTATGACTAATTCTATTGGAAAGTTATCCCAATTCGTGACAATGGAAAACCCAAGTTGTGGGTTCACTTTAATATAGGCAAGTCTTAGGAGATGTTTGGGAGAACAAAATGTTTAAGAAGATGGTGAAGAAGCTGACTTCTTCCAGTGAAATTTCCTGCTCTCCACTTACAGTGATAATCTGAAACCTGTGGGTTCCTGTTGGATTCATCATTACTGGATGTAAGCTAGTTTTGAAGTGAGAAATGGCTTCTTCTATGCCAGGGTCGGGCAATTATATCAGGCAGAGGGCTGCTTAGTGAATTTTGGCAACCTGTCAAGGGCTGCATGGGAAGCCTTGCACCTTGACAGGTGCCCCGTCCCCTGGTCGCCATCTTGGGGCCAGAAGTCCCACCCTTGACCTCTGACCCTTGCCACCGGAAGTCCCTCCCCTTGCCTGTAAAAGTACTCCTTCACAGAAGAGGGTTTGTTATCTTAGAACCAGAAAGAAGACAAATTATGTACTAAAAATCAAATACCCATAATATTATATTTTAATTCAATTAAAAATATATATATTTTTGTCCTGATATTTGTGTGTTTCTGCTTTATATGTAGAAGTGATTGCATAATAGCTCAAAATGCAGTCTTACCCTTGCATAGTGTGTGGGGTGTGCAGGGGTGTTGGGGCCATTACCCCTGGGGTGGTGGCACCCACTAGAGCCTCTCATGTTGGGGGCAGCCAGGCCATTGCCGCATCAAGCCTCAGGCATGTAATTCAAATTCTGTGCTACCTCCCTGCACTTCCAATGCCCTGGGCCATGTCTCCACTAACTTGTGCCACCCCCAGTGGTCCCAGGCATCCCCTGCACTGCTCCCAGGGCTGGATGGGGGGCTGGGAGCCAGTGACAGCCGGGCAGTGCCCTGGCAGGGCACAGAGCAGGTTGTCAAGAGTCTGGGGTGCAGCTGGCTGGATTCTGTGGAGCTGGGCTGGTGTGCCAAAGCATGGAGAGAGGGGAGCCACCCCACTTTTGGCCCTACCAGTGTTGGCCCCAGAACACCAGCGCTGGCTCCCGCATGCTCCCTTGCTCTCAGCTCCCTGCTCTAGCCCTGTGGTCAGGCAGGGACCAGTGTACACAGCCCCGATCCCGCTCTTACCTGAGTTTCCCACTCTGGCACAGGTAGGAACAGCCCCATGGTCCTAGGCCAGAAGCCTCTGCTAGGCAGGGGCTTCCAGCTGGGGTGGGAGTGGGGCCTGGCAGGCCCTGCTCTTCCAGGGGCCTGCCATGGCTTCCCCTGGGTCATACTGCCCTTGTCCCCTGTCATTTTTGACAGGAGCCAGAGGCAAATAAATATTAAATTAAAAAAAAATATTTAGGGGCTCTGTGGGCCAGACAGAATGGCCTAGTGGGCTGGATCTGGCCTGTGGGCCGTATTTTGCCCACTCCTGTTCTATGATGTACCAAAAGGAGCTAATTTTCTTAAATGAGGATCTGGGTTCAGTGAACCTTGTGTGTGTTACCTACAGAATGGATCGTGGTACCCATCCATAACTGGACCCAAAGCTAAGGGCATTACAGCTTATTTTGTGTAAAAATACAGCTGTCCACCTCTTTAATAGGAAGAATAACTGAGAACTTATTGTATTCTAAGTACTGGGCTCCACTGACCTCCATTTTCTTTTTGGTATTGGTTCAAGGTTTTAGCCTGAAATGTATTTAGGCCTGATATAACAGGAACAACTGAAGACTCATGCTACTCTGGTACATTTCAAGTACTTAATCAGTGCACTCCCTTCATTGCATGTAACTAATTAGGGAAATTGAGCGGTAGGCTTTCTTGGTCAAAGGCCTGTTGGGAATGACCAAATGAAAGAGATGAGACTGAGCCAAAGTCTTTTTTCAGGATACATAGGAAAAAGTAATTTTTTTTGCGGAAAGCTTCTAATGAGATGAGTCCTAACCCTTAACTAGGACTTCTGGGTGCTATCTGAATATAAATTACATGATGATAACAAAAGACAGGAAAAATGAGAGAGAGAGTGGGAGAAAGAGAGTGAGTGAGCAAGCAACATGCAAAGGAACCCAGAAGACTTAAATGGCAAAGCCCATTATAGACAGCTTTTCAAACCTCAGTTACATTCAGTGCAATCATGAATGACTGCCTCAGCTAAGGTAAATCTCCTCTGTGTCAGGTTGATTAGACAGTGGCTCTACTGTCTTCAGTAGAGCCACTGTACTGATTCTTTGGAGAGGAGCTGAATTTTTTTACCTCTGATTCATGGGCATCAAATTCGGACTCCTTACCCTTTTCATTCATTCAGCAGAAACTTCAATTATAATGATGGGAAATTTAGTTTCCATAGAAAATAATAATTTAGTAAGTATGTATAAGCATGTTGGTAATTTCAGAATCACACACAATAAAATGTCTCCCTCTTTAGACATGCCTGTTATGTTTTATCTTTCTCTTCCTCTTCCCTATTTGTGTTTCTCTCCTTATTTTTTCCCTTTTTACTTCCTTTCCTGCAGCAGTTCCCCAGATTCCATTGTTCTGAGCTTCTCTTTTACTCCATCCCTATTCCATATTTTAAAATGATCAGCAGTACAAAGATGTTGACAGGTTTTTTTGATACTTTATTAAGATTAGTTTAAAGCTGATGATTTCATAACTCTGAAGCTGGTCTGTTCCTTGGCTGACTGTAGAGTGAGGAAGATAATGCTGCATTTATTTACCTTTGGCTCATCCCCTGGTTTAAATCATGACCCTGGCATGCTAATATTGTGGCCCAGTTGTGGCAGGGGCTGCCATTTTCATGCCCAGATTGTGACACCCCCTCCCACACCCTGACTGGCTGAGGGGGCAGGTTTAGGGCCAGGTTTAAGTGCAGTAGCAGAGACCTTGCCCCCAAGGCCTGTGATCACTGCTGAGAAGCCTGTGTCTCCATCCCCATGGGGAAGGAGAGGGGCTGTTTGCTCTTCCAGGTGGGAAAACTGGGGCACTGGGGGTTTGGGGCTCCTAGAGGCTGCCTTGGCAGATGGCCCTGGCACCAGGTAGGGGAAGGGCTGTTTGCTTCTCCGTGTGTGTTCTCTCCCCTTGCCCCCAACCCCTGAAGCCCTAGTTTTCCTGCCCAGAGGAGCAAACAGCTCCTCCCCTACCCATCCCCAAGCTCTCTTCTCCCCCCAACCCTTTTGTGACCTCTCCTCCACAACCCCATTTGGGCTACTAGGCTTTTGTTTTCCCCAGCCTGCAGCAGCCATCTTGTTGCAATAAAATGCCATGATATGGGTGTTTCCTGGAGGATATTGTTGAAAATCACATTTTTCCTGAAAATTACTTAATTTTGTGGTTTTCATGAAAAATGCAAAATCACGATTTAAATCAGGTCCTACAGATGAGATTGATCTGATCACAGGCCACATATTTGATGCCTTAACCTATCAATTTTGTTTTCATGGTTGTTAAAGTCTAAGAGACAGTTAATTATAACAAGATCTGAAAGGAATTGATTTTTCTTCTACGTTCTGTAGTCAACTGGCTGCTTACTAACCCCGCTAGTAATCTCATGCATATCAAACAAAGAGTGGGAAGGGTAGAACTATTTTTCCTTGAGTGGAGAAGGTGTTAGGCACCCAGGCTTCCTGTACAGTGAACACAACATGTTTGTTTTGGAAGAACAAGGAGCAATTTGATAGAACAAGGAGCAATGGTCTCAAGTTGCAGCAAGGGAAGTTTAGGTTAGATATTAGGAAGAATTATCTCACTAGGAGGGTAGTAAAACACTGGGACAGGTTACCCAGAGAGATGGTGGAAGCTCCATCCTT